CCAGTTGTTTTAGTCGGTACAGGTATCTAGCCTATAGGAGCTTTATGGGCTGTTGCTGGGGCTTCCTTGGTCGCAGAATCTGGGTCGTCATTCCAGCCTGCCTGGTCCTACGCATCAGTGCAGAGTTTTCCTCATGCCACAGGCCAGTACGTGGGTTTCAGACTGCCCCATGATAGAACCGGGACACATAGCTGGATATGACCTCTTCCTTCTCAGGCCGCTCGAACTGTGCAGTGAGGTCCTCTGGGATGGGGATGGCCAAAGCAGCTTCTGTGTATGGTCCCAGGTCAACAAAGATTTTTCAAATATGAGGTCCACCACATTCCCTGTTTGATAAAACACAGAGATTTTGTTTACATTTTTTTACTTTTTTTTTTTTTTTTTTTTTTTTACAAAACAATGACTGAAAGTCTGTTTCTAACTACCTCCTGACATTTTCTTTACTGTATTTTTGTTGTTGGTGGAACTGTCATAACATTATACATGCAATACTTAATACAATATGTACAAAACATTTTTTGGTTGAAAAATAAGATAATATAACACTTATAGAATGTCGGCTCAGTCTTAACTGGTGTAGCTCTGCATTCTCCCTTCATGGCCTTTGGAAAGTGGAGCTTGAACAGTGGTTCACCTTCTTTTGTTTGGGCTTGTGGTCGGTCAGCATTTTCATTGTAGTACATGGCAGCCAGGTAGATCTGGAGGTACAGTAAAGAGAAAATCAAAGATGTAATGTTGACAGAAACCTTAGCCTACACACTCTCACAAGTTTTAAGTAACCACAGCTTCATTTACCTGCACAGCTTTCCAAGACTGATAAATGACTGTTAGGTTTATCAAAAGTAGATGCACTTCAGATGGCTACAGACCTGTACTTCTGATGTGAGGCTGAAGAGTCCTCAATGATAACTGTGTGCCTACAGTGGTCAGTCTGGCATGCAACATCCCTTGTTGCAGGAAGCTGTATAGATGCACTGATGTGCTGGCCTGAACAGAGGAAACAGAGGTTACACCAACATCTCCTCAAATGTGTAGTTATGGCAACAGCTGCAAGCAGTACAAAAATGATAACAACAAATGCACTCAATTATGTGTTAATTGGGTTGTCAATAGCTCATAAATGCTGCAAATAGCTCGCTATGTGCAAAATGCAAAAAATGTGTATTATAGACTATCCCCTTTCACATATTCCCTGTAACTCTGCGCTTATCTAGATATTCCCTACAGGCACTGGACCTGTAAACATGATATAAACGTTAAAACGGCCATCATAAGGCATGACTCTCAATACTGCTGCAAGGCGGACTCAGAAGGCGGAACACACACCTAGCTCGTGTCACCCACCTGGGGGAGGTGTTATTTCCCTTCATGACGACATCAAGGGGAAATCTCCAATTGGCCTGTGTGAGCACACATTTTCTGAAAGGTGGTGCAGGCAAAAGACGGAGAGGATGGACTTTTCTCATGTTTGAAAAACCATGGAAAAGTGCATTTTGCATAATATGTCCTTAACAGAGACAAACAGTGGGACAGCTGTCTCATATGAACCTCTGCAGGGTGAACAGACATAGGTAGATCCACACACACACATTCCGGCCTGCTAGAATGTTGTGTATAGGATGGTTGGTATTTTTCCAAGATGGCCTCCATCTCACATTGAATGCATCTCTCCACAACAGTCCAGAGTGAGCACAGACCCAGTCTTTTTGACCAGCTTGTCCAGTCTCCTTTTGATCATGTCTGACATGCTGCTGCCAGAGACGCTGCAACGGGGCAGGCAACCCAGGCAATTGCCTAGGGCCCCGAGCTGAAGGGGGCCCCGAGGGACGGCTGACATCGATGACAAAATAATGGAACTGCTTTGGACGCTGCAACGACAACCCATCGGAAATGCCCCGCACAGGGCCCTTTCCGAGTTGTCACCGGCTAGTTGCTAGTAGGGGGCCCCGACAGACGGCTGATATCGCTCCATATCAGCGACACAACTTGAAACCCCCGTAGACACTGCAATGACACGTCGGGAATCTCCCTAATGGGGCCCCCTTACTAGCCGGCATCGACGTGCGGTCGCGGTCAAACACACACATGAAAAAAATGAAGCGAACATATCTCTCTGGGCACACGAAAAGAAAAGAAAAAAAAAACAAGAAGAGGATGAAAAGAAAAAACGTGACAGTGGTAAGTATAAATGTGTAAGCTATGTGTGTTACATTATAAAAAAGTAGTGCTGCCAGCCAGCCTACCACTTTATCCCAAACTCCCAGTCATCCACCAAGCACCAAATAAGCACCAACCTACAGTTTCCTGTTTTCAAAGAAAAGCATGCAACAGGTGCTAAAGAGCGGCAAGCTTCGTGCAAGTTGCAAGAACTTGGAGCAAACAATGCATGACATTGAGGCAGATGATTTAGAATTGGAGATCAATTCTGCTGTCTACACTTTTCCAGACCACGCCTCCACCTGCCCAAATGACATGTTAAACTACATTTACAGTGAAAACCTTCTGGATCTGTACAGTAATCTAAGCATTGCATTGCGTCTCCTCTGGACTCTTCCTGTCTCTGTTGCCTCTGGTGAGAGGAGCTTTTCTGCTTTGAAGTTGATCAAAACCTATTTGAGGTCAACCATGTGCCAGGAGAGGCTCACAGGACTGGCACTGATTTCAATAGAAAGAGATGTTTGGAGGTCCTTAGATATGGAAGACATAGTGTCTGCATTTGCAGAAGCCAAGGCCCACAAGCAGCAGTTTTAAGAAAAAAAGGCACTACTATTGGACTGTGGATATAGGACCAAGGTGTCACAGCAAGTTTTAAGTTCGTCTTTTCCACTTCAATTCCTTGTTTGTTTGTTTTTTTGCTTGGTTGCATTTTCATCATTCTGAAAATTTTGCACATTTCAGTTATGTTTGTTTTTCTGTTATTTATATATTGTATGTAAAGTTTGCATTCAAATAGTTATGTTATTTATTATTTATTTCATATGTTAATTGTTTAATTTCTTTACTGATCCGTAGTCCTGGACTTCATTCATCATGATTCTGGGGGGCCCTGTGGTCCTTCTTGCCTAGGGCCCCCAGGGGGTCTAGAAATGCCCCTGGTTACATGTTGAAACTCATAACATGTCATACAACACCCTTAGATAAGAAACTAGAAATTCTAACTTTTGTTGTTGCCTTTTTACAGGTCAGATTTTTTTTTTATGGAATCAGTGATCTGGATCTTGATGGCAGGAATCATCATCACACACCTTTGATGGTGAGCTATCCTGGATAATAAAAATGAACCTCAGTTCCACATTGTGGTAGGACAAGACACATGTGACAGTGTGTGGTAAAAAGATGGACTTGATTGTATGTGGTAAAAGGAACTGATTTCCACCGCCTGGACTGATTATTATTTTTCCCTTTTCCTTCAATTTAGCATATTGAAAAATGAACTGAAGTGGCCATATTTTTGGTTTCTGTGCTTATGCTTGTTCTTTTACAAAAATAAAAAAATTAAATATATTTTGCAAAATAAAATATTTATTATAAACTTACCTGTGTCTCCTGCTTGTGGTGTTCATGCAAAGTGGGCTCCTAAGTGAGCCTGAAATATTCTGTGCCTTGATTTAGCCTACAACCGAAAATAATTTAGCAAATCCAAC